ACACACCATGGAGTCACTAGGGCAGGCGCAGCCTGAGAACTGCTGTTCTACACACCATGGAGTCACCAGGGCAGGCGCAGCCTGAGGACCACTATTCTACACACCATGGAGTCACCAGGGCAGGTGCAGCCTGAGGACTGCTGTTCTACACACCATTGAGTCAGGGCAGGCGCAGCCTGAGAACTGCTGTTCTAAACACCATGGAGTCACTAGGGCAGGCACAGCCTGAGTACTGCTGTTCTACACACCATGGAGTCACTAGGGCAGGCGCAGCCTGAGTACTGCTGTTCTACACACCATTGAGTCACTAGGGCAGGCAGAGCCTGAGGACCGCTGTTCTACACACCATGGAGTCACTCGGGGCAGGCATTACCTGCTCTCCACAGTTCCTGTCCTGCAAGGGTGGCAAGTCAGCTTCACCCCTTATAGATGAAGGCTGCGTGGTTCAACACCTTCAGTGAGGAGAGAGGACCATGCTGAAGAATCCAGAGCAGCCAGAGTACCTGGTACTGGGCTGAGCAGGCCTGTGAGGCAGGAGTAGGCCAGCCTGCTGCTCCACATTGGCATAAACGGGCTGGGGAAGGGATTCAGGCAGAGTTCTCCAGCGTTTGGCGTTCACATTCTCCATCAGTGACGTTCTGCCCACTGCCAGGGTGGGAAGGAAGTCCTCGGAGAGAATTAGGTGGAAGAGAGGAAAGAGTATCCTCTGTCAGTGACTGCCAGTGGAGTGCCTTGGCTGGGTGGTGTGAACCCCTGCCAGCCCTGCACAGGAGGCGCTCTGTGTCACTTGGTCCAGGTGGTCCCTGCCTGCTGTCACGGCTGCGTTATCTTGGGTTCAGTCAGATCCCAGTCCCAGCTTCATAGGATCCTCGCAGTAGCCCCTCCCCCAAGGCATTGGGCATTGTACCTTAGCCTCGGGCTGGCAGGGGCTGGCTGCYTCCACTCCCTCAACAAGGGCAGGGGGCCTTTGATGGGTCAGGGCTGATGGGCCTGCAGCCCTCGCCAGTGTAACATGGGTCCAAGGAGGGAGTGAAGCTGCCTTCAGCCTGGCACACAGGCCCAGCCACATGAGTCTTCTGCAGAGCACCTTGAATGGTCTGGGACTTTTTATTCTGAGCATTTCCTTTGGGAACTGAGTTTTGGATCCATTTAGAAAATACCACAGTCAAGTTCTTTGTTTTTCCCTTTTGCAGTGCCAGGGATTAAAACCAGGGCCTGTGCATGCTAGCCAGCCTCCACCACCAACCTATGTCGCCAGCCCTTCTTACTTTAGGCAGCTCCAAGTTTCCCAGGCTGGCCTCCAGCTTGTGACTCTCCTGCCTAGCCTCTGGAATGCTGGGATTGCAGACAGGTACCACTGGGCCCAGCCATGGTTGAGGTCTTCCTGGTCACTCCCACCTACCTGCCACCCTTTCCCCGTCAGAACACTCCAAACCCTACTTGAGTCAGCTGGTTGTTGTGGTTTGTGACTGAGAACTAGCCTGAGGCCCTGGAGAAGTCCTGTTCTCAGTGTGGACTTGAGGGTCCTCCCCCAGATATCAGCATGGCCGCCTTCCTCAAGTGTTCTCCAGCCACCTGGGAGTAAGGCTGCAGGCACAGGATGGCAGAGCCACAGAATCTGGCAGTGAGGGGAAGCTCTGTGCATAGGCCAGCTAGGGCAGGGAGAACCCTGGGGACTCCTGTGGAAGTGTATTCCCTGCCAGGCCAAGCGCAGATGAGGYACCAGTGTTTCCAGCGTGGTGCCGAGGCAGGGGATGTCTTCATGTTTTCCTGTATCTTACAAATTTTCTTAAAGGAGTGTGTTTATTTATTTTCTAAAAGTATAAGTGGTGTCTTGCTTGACAGTGTCACCAGTAGGAAGATGAATTGGCTCATTTGACAGTGAACTGTGGGAGCCGCTGCTGTACTTGAGCGATGACTGCTGGTTGGGAAATCGCAAAGCCTGAGGTGCAAACACGTGGGTGGTCCCTTGGCCCAGTAGCAGATAGGTGACACTCCCCTGGAAAACAAAGCATGGGGCGGTGGGCAGCACTCCACACCATGATGGCCCCTGCCCCCTCCTTGCCAGCCTTGTGAGAACATCCATCTGCAGAGGTGGAATGTCCTGGGAGGTGCCAGCCAGGTCAGAGGATAGCAAGCAGAATGTGTTCCCTGAAGTCACAGAGTAGCTGTTGAAGGTCAGAGCCCCAGACCCACAGGAGCAAACCGGAATGACAGACATCAGGTGGCCTCCACGCTGCTCCTGTCACCATCATTGGCTGATTCTCCACCTCCCTCTTGGGTCCTATCTGATGCTGGGGGACCAGGGTCTTGCCCTCGAGAGCTCCCAGCCCTGAAGCGAGACCCTGTGCCCCGTCCGCACTGCAGTGTGAAGGCAGGCTGACTGGGGAAGAGAGCTGAATTCTTGGTGGGGGCTGGGTACTGGCGACGTGCCCATTTCAGGCTGGCAGCAGCACCAGGCAGCTTTGGGCTGCTGCTTCTGGGCAGTGCCCCCCCCCCATTCAGGAGTGCCAAGTAGTAGCAAAGATCAGTCAGGCCAATTAGCCGAGARGTTCTTGAGATTAAGCAAATTTGATGAAAATCACCTTGGCAGTAAGTCTCTGGAGTGTTAAGAGCCTTCCTCCTGCTCTCTCCCTCTTTCCTTCTGCTCAGTCCTGTATTGAGGCAGAGCACAGCTGGCAGAAGGGCCSAGCTGAGAAGGACCACGAATGAAGTGTGGAGCTCCAGAGGTGTTGCAGGGGCCCACGCAGGGCTGTTGGCCTGGAGACGGGGAGGAGAATGGTAGCGTGCAGGGGGCTGATGGGCTAATATATCAGGGACAGCAGAAGCAGGTTTCTCGCTGTGTCAGTGGACTTTGCTYCACTATGACCCAAACACCTGACAAGACAACTTGGCTCACAGTTCCCATGGTGGGCGACTCCATGGCTCTGGGCCCATGGCCAGGCAGGACATCATGGCGGAAGGCGTGGCAGAGGAGCACTGCTCCTTTGTACCATCCAGGAAGGTAGGGGATGAAGCCTCCCAAGGCACACTCCACCTGCCTACAGTCACTACCCAGTCAGTCCACTCAAACTAGGACTAGTTAGGTTCCAGCTCTCAGTCCAATCCCAAGGCACACTCCACCTGCCTACAGTCACTACCCAGTCAGTCCACTCAAACTAGGACTAGTTAGGTTCCAGCTCTCAGTCCAATCCCTTCACCTCTGGACATTCCTGCATTAACAGGAGCCTCTGGGGGACTCTTGTCAGAACCATGACACTTGTAGATAAGGAGAGGGAGAAGCCCTGCAGAATAGATGGGAATGAAGGCATCGGGATGCTGACGGTAGAGACAGGAATGGCAGAGGTGGGCACATGTACCTGTGTGAGGACAACAAGGCTTGTCAGAGCACCCAGGCTTGGGACAGCTGAAGGACTTGGAAGTGGCTTTCACTGGCAGCTGCGGTTTTTCCAGTGAGAGGCTACAGAGAGCATCCACCAGGGAGAAAGTGCCAGATGGGCAGCCTCTCCTGGGTGTGGCAGATGCTGTGGCTGAGTGAGGCCTGGTCACCAGGGGCGCTTGCTGAGCCTGAGTCCGCATACTTACTGGGGTCATCCTGCATGTGCACAYGAGGCTTCAGAGCTCCAGAATAAAGTAGGGTTCACCATCAGTTACATCGTCTAGCAGACTATTGGGCCGAAGGGTGTGATGCTGGTCAGTGAGCATGTTCCTGAGGGCAGCCCGGAGGTGGCCAAGGGAACACAGGCCCTTCTGGGGTGCAGGAGGGTGAGCCACTCAAGCCTGGGACTGACTTCCTGCATGTGTGTGTGTGTGTGTGTGTGTGTGTCCGTCCGTCCCCAGGGCTGCCCCCTGGGAAGGCTTGGGGACCATTCTTCCTGTACGTGCAGGTACTGGTTGGTGTAGGCTGCAGGGCACTCTTGCTGGCAATGCCCAGGGCTGCCCCGGCACATCCCAGGAATGGGGAGCACATCTGGAGGCTCATCTTCTCTTCTGATGGCTGTTCTCCTTGGTGGCACCAGCACTCCCTGGAGAGGAGGTGAGTGCAAGATGGATCAGAATACACTGAGATCGGTGGGACTGAGTGTGAGCATACACAGAGGCCTGGAGACACCCACTAGTCAGCAATGAAGGTAATAGATTGTAACCACTGAATAAAACAGGAGCCCATGTGTTTATATTGATGTAAGTAAGTGAAGAATTCCTTACATTTACCRGAATTGTGAGGGACCCTCCAGGCATCTCCCTCAAAACATCCAACAGTTACCCAGGGAAGAGAACACACCCAGGGTGTGTCTGGTAGGTCCCTTCCTGAGGCGAAGAAGCCAGATCCTCGGTGGAGGGCGTCCGGCAAGCCCCCTGAGCCCTCTCTGTCTCGAGAGGAGCGCGGAGCTGGAGAAACTACAACAGGTAGTTTAGGAGCACTGCTGAACACAGAGATGCTCCTCCTGGAACCCTGAGCACAGTCCGGGTTCTCATTTGCACAGTGGGAAGCATGGCTCTGCCTTGCGGAGGATGTGAGGACCCCAGTGAAGAGACCAGCAGGGCAGCACTCGACACCAGCAGTCCCCTCTCAGCACACAAGAGACATACTGGTTACACATTT